CAGGTCTTGTTTCAGAGAATGTATAAGTAGTACTTAGTTAGCAATTTTCGTGAGTTCACAAGTTCTGCACCTCCCCTTCGAAGAGGCACATTTATCAAAGGATGGATTTTTGTGTTTTAATTCTACAGCGAATTAGTAATAGTAAAGTTTATAAAATCATAATCTGTGCTTTTCTGCAAAAACGTCAAAATTTGAATATACTGTTCAACGTCACCTATCTTATGTGTATAGAGGCCACTTTCTTCAACCGCATAGCGTGCTCATAGCGGAACGAGAACAAGCAACTTATCCCTTCAAAGGAAATTTTGCTCATACACAGACAACTATGCGCTTTATTATCTAAAGGGGATATGCTTAGTCTCTCATAGTAAACTTTCTGTAATATTGAAATCCAATCGGTTGGTTCCAGTAGTCACTTGTTGAAGACAGGAAGAAGAATGCAACTAACATCCTTGCTGTTATCATTAATACATTAGGCAATTCTTTTCTTGAATGTATAAATTCCACGTTCGAAAAATGAATTTGCTTTTCTTTTTTGCGCGTTGTTTTGCACCACACTATATGAAAATAAGTGAATAAATTAAATGAACATATGAACAGTCAAAAACCTCATTAATATCATTTAGAGGAACTATCTTGCTGTGATGGGTGTCCCAATGAAGAATGGTGGTCATGTTCTGTTCCCTGAGGAGGCTGTTTATCTAGTTGAGGTATTTCAAAGAGAGTATTAAGAGTTGTAGGTATCTGCATCTTACACTCTGTTCCTTCTAGCATCACCTGGCTTGTGTCACAGACAACACACGTGTCCTCCCCCTGCTTGATGCTTACCGCATTCTTGGCGAATGTGGCGTATCAATGCATGTGTATCGTGCTTATGCATCTTTACGGCAAGCAGGATTTGCCGTTTTGCGGCCAAAGTAAGCAATTTGTTAGAACATTCATTTGTAGTTCATCATGTGACAAGAGTTTTTTTGAGGTTTGAGGCAAAATTTCATCGCTCCTTCATAAAGTCTATTTGAATACTGCAACAAGTGTTTTCCACGACTGTACTGTGTTTCAGCCGAGCTCTTGTCCGTTCCCTTCCGTTACTTCAGGACCCACAACCTGAACAGTCGACATCCAGACGTGAGAAGTGAGGTGTACTCACCTTATACATATTTACAATAATTTTTATTGCTCTCCGAATTGTTTAAAGGAAAGTTTGTTCTAGTTTTCAAATCAATCGTTGCTCTAGGAAAACGGAAGCCATAGCAAATTCTTTTAAACTACAATAATCCTTTTACACAAATATACAGCCTTTACGATATTGCTCAAGTGTA